GCTTTTTGTGACTGGCTTCTTTCATTAGATCTTTTTTTGAGAAAACTGCATGCATGTAATACCATAGTACTTCAATCCTTCTTTTTTTAAAAATATTTTTTAGTTGTCAATGGATCTTTTATTTAATTAATTTATTTTTATGTAGTGCTGAGAATCGAACCAAGGGCCTCACACATGCCAGGCAAGCTCTATACCACAGAGCCACAACCCCAGCCCCCAGTCCTTCTTATTGATGAATAATATTCTACCACAGGGACACACTGCACTATGTTTATCCATTCACCAGTTGATGGGCATTTATTTCCAGGTTTTGGACATTATAAACAATACTTCTATGAACATTCACATTCAAGTCTTTGTGTGGATGTATATTTTTACTTCTATTGAATAGATACCCTAGAGTAGAATTGCTGGGTATTAGTGTTAATTTATGTTTAACTTTTAAAAAAACTGTCTCTTTTCCAAAGTAGTAGTACCATTTTACATTTTCACCTATAATGTATGAGGGTTCTGGTTTCTCTGTGTCCTAGTCAACAATCACCATTGTCTGCCTTTGGGATTCTAGTCATTTAAATGGTAGTGTGCTGTGGTATCTCATTTTGGTTACAATTTGCATTCCCTTAGTGACAAATTATATTAAGCATCTCTTTTTAAAAATTTTTTTTTTGTAGTTGTAGATGGATAGAATGCCTTTATTTTATTTGTTTTATTGTGGTGCTGAGGATCGAACCCAGTGCCTGACGCATGCTAGACAATTGCTCTGCCACTGAGCTACAGCCCCAGCCCCTAAGCATCTTTTTATTAAACATATTTTTTTAGTTGTAGTTGGACACAATACCTTTATTATTTATTTATTTATTTTTAAGGGGGTGCTGAGAATGGAACCGTGGGCTTTGCACAAGCTAAGTGAGTGCTCTACTGCTAAGCCATAATCCCAGCCCCAATGTTAAACATCTTTTTAATGTGTGTGTTGGACATATATATATATTTTAGATGGGATCAGGTGGGTCTCAAACTTCTGGGCTCAGGTGATCTTCCTCAGCCTCCTAAGTAGCTGGGGCTACAAGTGCACATCACTAATGTCTGGTTTATGTGTCTTCTGTAGTGAAAAAAATTTTTTTCAAATACTTTGCATATTTCAAAAAATGGGTTGTTTCTTACGTTGAATTATAAGCATTCTTTATGTATTTCGGAGATAAATTCCTTATCAGAAACATGCTTTGCAAATATTTTCTTCCATTTATGACTTTAAAAAAATTTTCTTGCTGGTATCTTTTGAAGTGCAAAACTTCTAAATTTTGATGAAGTCCAGTTCATCAACTTTTTCTTGTATGAATTGTACTTTATCTAAGAAATCTTAAACTACTCTGAGATAACAAAGATTTTCTCTTATGTTTTCCTGTAAAAATTGTATAGTTTTCTCTTATATGTCAGTAAAAACTATAAGGTCTGTGATTCATTGAGTTATGTATGATGTGAAGTTTGAATTAACCCTTTACTTGTAGATACCTAATTGTTCCAGCACCATTTTTTAAAAGATGACTTGTGTATTGTTGACTCTGTTTTTTAAAAAATTATTTGTGCCTTTAAAGAAAAGGTAGAGTAGGTGGGGCAAAATAATTAATTTATGAATGAAGATGAAAATACTCTTTTGCATTAAAGTTCAAAGCACTTGAATGAGAGAATGAGTATCTGGCTGATGTTTTAAAGAATATCTTAAACAACAATTTTATTTTCTTTGTTTCCTTCATCCCCCCATTCTCTCCCCAGCCCTGCACTGAACATCTGCTGCTGTCCTGTGAGGGGAAGTGAAAGATTTAGGTCAGGCATAAAAACAAACTATCTTTGCTGCACTGTTCCCTTTTAAGAAAAAAAAAAAAAACCCCACACTGCTGGGTCAATTTAGTTCTGAATTACCCTATATCAACAATTCTATAGTGATTTTTAGAAGTTGGCTTTTCCCAGCAAGACAGACTGCTGTTGCGTGGCCTGGGTGTGATGAAATCCATCTGGCTGGCCACTTTCAAGGATGCTGACAAAAGTCGAGAGACCCTGTTCCTCAAGTATCACAGGACTTTCCCTTACATTTGCTTTACTGATACATTTCTTATAAGAAGTACCTTAAAAGAAACTTATAAGAGCTGGAAATTTTACCCATTTATATCCTACATGTATCTCTTGTGCTAGGTAAGGGTAGAGACTTAGGATATAAGAATAGGTTCATTTGACTAATGCGAGGCAACAAGACCAGCATCCTTGGGGACATTGTATCCGGAAAAATATTATCCATTCTGCTTTCCTCTTTAAAAAAAGAACAGAACAATTATATCTTCCTTTATGGAAATTTACTGGGTTTCTCTGTTTGATAGTGCTGACCTAGCCGCTATAACTGGGCTACTTTCATCCTCTGGCTTTGCCAAAGTTCCTGCACAATTAAGGCTGTAGCATCATCATCATCAATAAAATAATAGTCAATATTATAGACACTCTTTTCCTGAATTACCAATATTAGCTCATTGAACTGTTCCTTGGATGTATACATTAAAGCGCATTATTGGAGGGAGTTGGGGGTGTAGAAGCAATTGATATGGCATTTGGAGTAAAGGAAATACCTTTCCTAAAAGAACTTTGAAATCAGAGGAAAGGCTTAAGATGATGCTTGAGGGGTAAAGCTGAATAGTGGAATCCTTTCTTGAGGCCCCATTTTTTCTTCACTTCTAGAATTTGAGGCAAAGTGAGAGGGAGGAAACATTGGTCTTCAAGCCTGTGCTTTGATTGGGCATATTATTTTGATGTTCTTCCTCAAGAGCTTCCAGGAGCCTTATCCTTCTCCACCTCCAGTACCTGCTTTAGTGTCTGAGTTCCTCTGTGTGGAACTGGACCACTCTCCAGCTGTCCATGCTTGTCCCTGGCAAGCTGGGTCGCTGTTGATGCTTTCTCATCCTGTGTTTCAATATGGTAGCCATTTGCTGGAAGGGGGAAGCTTCAGCACAGAGGGGAACAGCCTCCAAAATTCCAGCCTACTATTGGTCAGAACCAGAAATCTCATTGAATTTAGGATTTCACCAGTATACAAACATTCTGGCTTCCTCTAAGCAGGGTTTTTTTTTTTTTTTTTTTTTTTTTTTTTTTACATTAAAACAAAGTCAGGAGCAAGTTTTCTGGGAGGAATGAAGGGCAAGGCAAGAAACTGTGAGCACAGCGTATCTGAAACAAGGAGAGGAACTAGAAAGAGGAAAAATTGGGAAATATTTGACTACCTCGGAGTTTTTTTCTGAGGGTCTTACCCTGCAAGTGGGGTTAGCAGAGATACAGATAGATTTTTCATTGTTGCCCTCCAAATCCCACCAGAATTCTAACAGTAGCCTTCACCAGTCTATATACCCTCCTTTGTTGTCTAATACAGAGGATCTACTCAAAAGATGGGGATGTCTTGATAGAGAAGAAAGATTCAGGTCATTGCAAATAGGAGTGAGAGCTAGTTTTGGACAGGTAGTTCCTGGTGGTGCCTGTGGACAGGTGTTGCCTGGAGATAGCTTTAGGTGGTTATTTCCTTCACTGGTGCTTTGATACTGACCCAGCTACTATAGTTTCAATCTTGAACGTCCCCTGAAAGCCTATGTGCTAAAGGCTTGGTCCTCGGACCATGGCACAATTAGGACGTTGTGGAACCTTTAAGAGGTGGGGCCTCGTGGAAGGAATTTAGGTCATCAGGGGTTTGGCCTTGAAGGGGATTTTTAGACTCAGCCTTTTCTTGTCTCTGTCTTTGCTTCAGCCTCCTCTGTGCAAGCTCCTGCCATGATATGCTGTGCTGCCAACAGGTCCAAAGCAACAGGGCCAAGCAACTAGGAACAGAAACCTCTGAAACTCTGGGACAAAATAAACTTTTCCTTTTAAAAAATTGGATTATACCAGGTATTTTGTCACAGTGATGAAAAACTAACACACCTGCCAATCTGGGTGTGTGTCTAAGATGTTCTTAAAGTTCTCCTGGAACTTGACTGAACATAATAAGCAGGCTTCTTTCTGACTATTGGCTTCCTATATCCCTTTTCTTATTTACTTTAGAAAGCTTGCAATTGCAAATTCTTGGTTTCTTCAGGGCATAAATCTTCTCCCAGCCTCCTGGCAGTTTTACAGGCCAGGAAAGTCTTTCTCAAGGGCCTGAGGCCTTTTGTTTGAAATGCAAACCTCAAGAAAGATAGGGCCTTTATCTCTCAGTCTGTTGGAGGGAGGAATCTAACTTCAATAAGTAGCAACAGCAAACACAGATGGTTTACTCACAGTGACCAACCTTCCCCACCAATGTCCTCAGTATTTTTCCATTAGCTCATAGTAGTGCTTTAAAACTCTCCTTTTTTTTTTAAATGTATCATCGACATTTTAAATTTTTTTTTATTTCTTACATACATGACAATAGTGGAATACATCTTTTTGTTTTAAGAGAACTGAATTCAATCTCTCTCCCTTATTACAATATAGTTGACTCCTTGGCAATAGTCTTAAATAAAATCTTGCTTGTCTGTTTAACTGTATCTTGTGTAATTTGTCTTCGACATACGGACACTCTCTCAGTATTTTACCTAAACTGACTCCCCATGAGTTTGAAAAGCCATTAACCCAGAATATAGGATAACTTTGTCATGTTGTGCTGTTACTGGGGTTCTGCCACATAAAAGATTTCACATGCTATCAATCACATTTCATGAGTCCAAAACCAAAATGTTTCTTCTTTGTCATGAGATACACAAAATGCCCCGACTACGAACACAATTTTATATACACATATACAGATGTACACACAATTAGTAATAAATACTTAGCTTTTTTTGTAGCCCCTATATGCCAGACCCTCTATTCTTTCTGATTAAATGAGTACTTTTTTCTCATTTAATCCTTACAGTATTTCTATGAGTTAGATACCATTATTTATTTCATAGATAAGGAAGCTGAGGCTTCCTCCTGCTTATCCTTTAAGGATTCACTAAAGGTAATCCTACCTCATTAGGATTCTGCTCAGTGGGAAATCTGTGTTTCCAAAGAGATTAAGAATGAGCTTCCTTAAGTTTTGGCTCTATCCAACCTACAAGAAACATTGTAGATTTTACTATGCCTTGAATTTCATCTCAAAGTTCCTCTGTTCTCCATTCCCTTTGTGTTTGTCACCTGTAATTCTACTTTTGTGACCTGGTGCAAGCTCTTGGAGCAGTCATTCTGATCTTGCTTTGGTGTTGCTCAGACAAGGAGAGCTGGGGATCTCCCCTGGTGCTTCCAGCATTGGGTATGGACTTCCTCAGTGGAACTTGAAGATGGTAGAAATTTCCTCTCTGATTCATACATAGGAAGAGATTGCAACATTTTTTTTTTTTTGGGTCATTCTCTCAAGCATCTGTCCCCTTAGCAGCACTTGAGTGATGAGTCTTACTCAACAGTGATCTATGATGTCACCATCTCATACCTGATGACATCACAGGGCTCAATTATAACAAGAGCATCAGGAAGCAGACAGAGCAATAATTTCTACTTATTTCCAAATATCAGCAATAATAGAGAAATAAAACCCTGTTAAAAGTATCTAAGTCTTTCTAGCTTCCAAGTTTTTTGTCCCCCCTGAGATGGAAGGGTTTTTCCATACTGACTAGTTTCTGTAGCTTTTTTTTAAATCAGTCTATACTTATAAGTCTCACAGGTGAAATTCCAGAATACTGCATTACCCCAAAAACCCATCTCTGGGACTATGAATGGCTCCATGCACTGAGGCAGGTGCTGGGCTGTGGTTTTCACCAGAGTCTCCTGTCATGTGGAATGTGGTGAGGTTTTATTCTTTGAACCCGGGGAAAAGCACTGTGGGGTTATGGACCATGGCCATTTAAATTTAGGGAGGCGGATAAGGTGAGGTGGATAAGGTGTCTTATCTCCAACTTCTCTCCTTTAACCTATTGGCATGACTCTGTCTCACTAGGCCTCTAACTCATACAACGCCTGCCTTGGATAAATATAAAAATATTACATTTATTTATTATTGGCGTCACCTTTTGTTTTTCCGTGTTGATGGGGTATTTTACAGAAATTAACACATACTGTTCTAAACAAGGAAAGTTGAAAGATTTCAAAGAATAATTTCCCTTAATTATAAGCACTTTTTGGTATGAGAACTTGCTCATTTTATAGCTCAGTTTGTACCCTTTAAATATGCCTTTTAAAAGCTAGCATTTATTGGTTTTTATCACAAAATTAAGCACTTTAAGCAGTTTTTCCCCCTAATCTTTCAGTGTTTTATTCTAGAGCTTTGTTGTTCTACAAATAAAAGTACAAAGCCCCTGTCCAAAGAGAAGGTATGCCTTTAAGAGCAGCACAAATGAAGAAAAATTAAGGGACTGGGACTATGGCTCAGCAGTAGTGCACTTACCTGGCATGTGTGAGACACAGGGTTCAATTCTCAGCATTGCATATGAATAAATAAAATAAAAGGTCTATCAACAACTTAAAAATATTTTAAAAATTAAGATAAAGCAAGATTGAAAATCAGATAACACGTGGATTGATGATGACAATAAGACTCTAATCCTTCTATGCTGAGGGCCATTACCAAGTAGGAATGACGCATCGAAATTTCCTTGCCAAGCGTACCCCATGCTGCTTAGAGGACATTTGATGGGACATTGCATGCATGCTTTAATGAGGTGACCTTGCTCAAGGACCAAGGCAGATCCGGGTTTAGAGCTGATCAGGTTTGAGGAAGTAACCGGCTCCTTGAGTTTAAGGTGTTGCCAGTTTAAGATAATGGGTTTTAAGGAAGTTGGAAGTTGAAGATTATTGCTGGGATTAGGGTGTTCCTGCTGCTTGTTCCCATTGAGTTCTCGTGAGATTAAAATGGGATTTGGAGAGAGCCTCGTGGAGTAGGTGGTTGGTGCGGGAGACGGCAGAACGCGTTTGCCCCTGGACCTGTGTGGAGGTGGTGTGAGAGCTGGAATAAAGAATTGCTGTTTGAACCTACAAAGCTGTGAGTGCCTTGTGATTCTGGTGCCAAGCCGAGACATTGGCCTTGGCACTTCTATAAATGAATCTACTCAAATTTTATTTTAAAGTAAGAAAATGATAAAAATACACATATGGAGTCAATCTGGGAAAACAAGTGAGTCTTTTCTTGGATGCCCCCCAGAATCTACCTGCAATTAATTAGTGGCTACAAAATAATATATGATTAAGCAGAATGAAAGCAGCTCATAAATAAGTTGGGGGTAAATTAAGTGTCTGTAAAGTCATAAAAGAATCTGAGATGATTTAGTAAATACTGCATTTTTGACAGGCTAACTTCTGAAGGTGTCATTAGACCTCATGACTCAGAGTCAGTTACCTGCTGTCTTGTCACTAACTATATGTGCAGACAACATATTTAACCTCTGATGTTCTTCATCTATAAAATAAGTAAAATAGTTTGCATATTAATTAAGATAGTCTCTCAAATGTTCTTAATACAGTCTCTGTGCACAACTGCTCAAGAAATGTTAAGAATTATTAGAGATGGTATAAGGTGGTAGGTAAAGGAGCAAGCAATGGCCAGACCACCTTGCTACTCTTATGGCTCTTTTCTACCTGTCCTTAGAACTGAATCATCAATGACTATCTGAGTCTTTCAGTTGCTGTAAGACAATAATGGAATTATCAAAGAAATCTTTCACAAAGTGCTTCTTGGAAATCCAGCTTTTTCTGAGACTTTTTCATTACAAAAGATTCTCAGAAGGTAGCAGATATTTACTACTAATGAAGCTGCATACACCCTCACCATTAAGATGGCAAAATAAGAAATCAAAAGTGGAATTCTTTACCTTAGAATGTCTGGTATCCTTGGAGTCCACTATATCTTGACCTCTTGCAGCCCTCCAGTTACTCATAGGAAGATGGAAAAAAAAGGCAGAGAGAATGTGAATATATGTTGCATTGATATTTTGCAGAAGTCAAAAAGTTTTTTTACCTAGTATTCAGTGGGTATAGCATGAGAATAGGATGATTTGTAATAATATGCATTTTAAAAGCTAGCATTTATCGTTTTTTATTACCAAATTAAGTACGTTATTTCAGAAAATTTAGAATGCATAAATAAATAAAAAAGAAGAGAAAATCATTAATGTTAACATTTTGATGCATTTTCTTCCAGCTTTTATAGAAAGTATTATGTCTATGCATTTATAGTTTTAATATGGGTCTTTTAATTTCTAAATTTCTAAAGAATCAGTATATCAACTTTGGTTTTCTGGACATTGATTTTCATTAGAAGACTTTGTTGAATATGTTGGAGGAGTCTTGTTGTTCAAAATTACTGTTTGGTTCTTCTTGAGTTCTGGTAGAACAGAACTGTGCTTCTCAAAGTGTGGTCTGGAAATCAGGAACCCCAGCACCAACTGGGAGCATATTAGAAATGAAGAATTTTGGACCCCAGCCCAGATTTAGTGAATCCCAAACTGAATTTTAAAATGATTTCTGGGTATTTATGCATGCATTTAATTTTGAGTAATACTATTGTAGGAAAAGGTTGACAAAGCATCTTTTCTCTAAAAGAGTTGCTGAGGGCCTGATTAGTCCCTACTCCAAGGACAATATCCTCTCCTACCAGACAATCGACCACTTCCTGAACTCTCACTGTCACAAAAACACGGTTGGAAAAAGAATGAAGAACTCCTAAATAGCCAGCAGGAAAACATTGGGCATCTCTCCCGGTAAGGAGATGTAAGACACAAAATAAATCTGGGGAGCACAAACATGCCAGTAAAACTCTGCAAATCCAAAGTCTGTATTGTTCAACACTTTATTACATTATCAAATTACTATTCCAGTGCTCACTGTTGAATTACCAGGAAATGGTGCTGAAGCAATTGAAAAGCCCAGCAATAAAGTTCACCAATTGCATTTTCGTTGTGGGAGCTTTTGATGTAGGTGTCTATTGACTTGGAGTATCGAGACCCGCTCAGAAAACAAACAATAGAAAGAAAATACTTCAAAACAACATGTTCTGGAATTGGAGCAGCTTTAAAAATGGAAGTAGACAGGCTTTCTCACCCTCAGACCCCTTATTTGCTGGAATCAGAATGTATCTACAAAGCTGGGTTGTGGCAATTTTATGGTGAATATGACTAGTGATAGCTCATATTTTTCAGCATTTTATGATTCACAATATACTATGTCAGTGCTTCTAAAACTTTAATGTTCATACAAATTACCTGGGGATCTTGTTAAAATGAGAACACTGTTTTTTTTTTCCCCTAGTAGGTCTACGGTGGAACCTGAATTTTTGCGTTTCTAACTAATTCTGAGGTGGTGCTGATATTGCTGGTTCACAAACCATACTTTGAGTAGCAGGTACTTAACCCTGATTTCTCTAGAGAATCACAAAATTATATATAAGATAGGTAGAGTTACCATTTCCCCCATTCCTTTCCGAGATGCTCAGATGATGATTAGATTATTAACTATAGCAAACATGCTGTTCATTAGGATCTCCAGAACTTACTCATTTTACAGCTCAGTTTGTCCTCTTTAAACAATAGCTCCTATTTCTCCTACACCTGCAGCCTCTGATAACCAGCTTTCTACTCCGTTTCTGTAAATTTGATTTTAGATTTCCCATATATGGTGAAATGCTCTAGTATTTGTCTTCCTGTGACTTATTTCATTTAGCAAAATGTCCTCCAGGTGCATCTATGTTGTCACAAATGACAGAATTTTCTTCCTTTATAAGACTGGCTTTTATTCCATATTTTCTTTATTTATTCATTACTAACAGATGTAAGTTTTTTTCCCCCATGTCTTGGCCATTGTAAATAATGCTACAGTGAAGATGGTAGTGCAGATAGCTCTTGGAGACAGTGATTTTTTCCCCCCTATGGACATGTACCTAGAATTGGGATCGCTAGATTATATGATAGTTTGATTTTTCTTTTGTTTTTTAATTTTTTTTTGAGGAACCGCTACACTGTTTTCCATAATGGCTATACAAATTTACTTTTCTATCAACAGTGTACAAATTTTCCTTTTTCTCCACGTTCTCATCAATACTTGTTATCTTTTATTTTTTGGATAAAGGCCATTCTAACACATGTGGTGAGAATCTCACTGTGATTTGGATTTGAATTTCCCTGGTGATTAGTAATTTTTTCATACACCTGTTTACTGTCTGCATGAATTCTTTGGAAGATTGTTCAGGTCTTTGCCCATTCTTTTTTCAGTTGGGTTATGTGTGTGTGTGTGTGTGTGTGTGTGTGTGTGTGTTTTATTATTGAGTTCTTTATATATTTATGTATTTTGGGTATTAACTCTTTATCAATATATAGCTCTCCCACTTTGTAGATTGCTTTTTCATTTTGTTGATTATTTCCTTTGCTGTGCAGAAG